TTATTGAGGGGATTGGGCTCAGTGGGGCACCTAAAATGCTTTCAAGGTAGATGGTCAGTGAATAGTCCATTCAATGATGAACTTCCATGTAATGTTTAATGGGAAATATTTATGCTGACAAAAACCCAAGGCTTACTATACACAACCATCAATACTTTTACAAACTGGCATTATTAAATTTCTAAAAATGCTAAATCATGGTTAGCCAAGTATTCCTTATCTATATTACAGGTCACATGAAGCTTTGCTTAGTGATAGTGTAATCTGGGTCATACCAACTTCTAATTTAAAAAAAATAACTTTGATTCTCTGTTTATTAAAGCATCTAAGGGAAAGATATTGATAAAATTCTTTCCCAGTATTTATACTCCCCCTGGTGGAGAAAAGGATAAGTAACCAACGTTTCATATCCTGATGTTAATATATCAAAGGTAACTATTTAATTTTGCTTTAATAGGGGCTGTGACTAACAGTGCTTGTGACCCTAATTATTTATTGACAGATGATAACATCTTAAAAGTATCCCACACTTTTTTTCACTGCTATTAACTGATGTGGCTACTCTCCCATGTACACATATTTGTAGGCCGAAGCACAATTCTTCCTTTGCCTCACATCCTCAGATGTTGTATAAGATTCAAGTCATATTGTACAAATGTAACAGTACTATTTTTGATATTTCTAATTTATTCCCACCAATATCTGATGTAGCAATCTCTTTTCAGGCTTTCATTGACTAAGAATACAGAATTCTTGTGGTAGAACGATGTAAAAATAGAATTTGGTATTCCATATCTCCAGTTAAAAACAGACATAATGGTCTAGCAGCATTAATGTCAGAACCTTTTGAGTATTCATTTTCTGTCACATCATTCTTGATGAGTGAAGTTACTATTATAGGTTGGAAAAGAAGAACAAAAATGTAAACATTGAATAGAAAACTTTAAGTAAAGCACTAAAATGTATTAGAACACGGCTCACAGAAGTTAAATGGACAAAACTGATGAATCGTCTAAATCGATATTTCATCTGAGGACATTTTCTACCATATTTGCTAGAAACCCACTTTATTACATTCTATAAAATGACTATCACGGTACCTGTGTATACTAGAGATTACTATTAGGAAATGAGAAAGATGTTGATGTTGGGGCTTAGAACACAAGTCTGTCACTTTGGTAGGCTGAATACTTTGAATTAAAGGAGATTCCAAGGCCCCAGAAGCTTCCTCAGAGGCAAGGTCTCTGACTCCTGACTCCCTCCTTCCTCCCTGAGAAGTAGGAGAATAGGGGATAGGGATGTGGATCAGTGGTAGAGTTATTGCCTAGCTTGTGTGAGGCCTTGAGTCTATTCCCAGCAGAAGTGAAACACAGAAACCTTCCTCAAGGCAGGTCATAGAAACTAGAAACCCTCTTCTAAAAGCAAGCCATGCTGCCTAGGGGTTTCTCTCTCTGTTCTCTCAACCCCTCTTTTTTTTTTTTTTTTTTGGAAGACCCTCACATCAGAGGAGTTCTGCCTCATGCCTGGGAAGAAGGAATGCTATACACAAAGGACAAGAATCTGAACAGACAAGCCTTGCTAGATTTCTCCCTCTCACCCTTTTGTTCAATCACATTTCTTCACAACTGTCCATCATAAAACCTAAATGTTAACAGAGGACAGTTTTCCTTGAGTCTTTGGGCCTTCATTTCTGTAGCTCCCAATGTCATGTAAAACTTTGCTAACCTGTCTTTGGTATAGAAGTGTCAGCTGTGATCCTTTGACAGATAAAACTGTCAAGTCTTTCCACACCTACATTACCCCCAAACTGTAGGACTGTGGAATTTGAACCACACCAAGGGTAAGGAGACACTGATTACATCTTGTACAGGAAGAGTCTGCCCAAGTCATTTATTTTTTCCCCATGAAAATAATAGGAATTATTCCTTTTATGTTCCAGAGTTCTTGTCAAGGCTATCTGAAATAATGTATAGAGGAAAAAGCTACACAAACTGAAATGTTAAAGTGGAGATATTTCAGGATTTTGTGTATACAGAATTTTAAATTATTGGTATTTATAGATATATCTCCATTTAAAATTAGATGACCTTAAGTTTTGATTACAAACTGATTTTTATAATTAAATCATTTAAAATACACTGGAAGGACTCTGGAGAATCATTTAACATTTTATTTGGCAGTTTAATTGGCACCAATGAGTATGATTTTACATATAAAGATGTTCTGACAAAAGATATGTCTGTTACATAGCTTTGCTTTTCTAACCCTCAGTGTGAGGAAATCATCAGAGCTGAAAGCACACTGCCTTGTCCCTGCTGTTGGTGATATCCTGTCCACACTAGGCTTTTCTTCTTACATGTTTTAGGATAAAGTACTTATTGTTACAAGGAAAGTGCCCATTGAGTCAGAAAACCTTGGAAGTCATATTTAGAAGTTTAGAAGTATATGGAAGCCAGAGTACCTGCCTAGAATTTCCTGGGGTTCAATTCCCAGTACTTAAAAAAAAAAAAAAAAAAAAGGAGGGCTGGGGATGTGGCTCAAGAGGTAGCACGCTCGCCTGGCATGCGTGGGGTGCTGGGTTCGATCCTCAGCACCACATAAAATAAAAATAAAGATGTTGTATCTACTGAAAACTGAAAAATAAATATTAAAAAAGGAAAAAATGTATACGAACAAAGAAAATCCATGAATAATTCAAGAATAGAATGGGAAATGAAAGCTTATGCACTGTCTGGAGATTTAAGAGTATATAAACAAAACCAAAAAAAAATCACCCTCATTACTAACTCCTACATACATAAACTTTTTATATATTTTGACATATATACTATAAGTAAGCACTATTGTTTATAGCAGGAAGAAAGATGAGAAAATACACTTTTTCATATAGTTAAATGCAATTAGCTAATTAAAATCTGAGGTTCGGGACCCATGTGCATTAGTAAAATTAGGGGATCTATTTGTAGGTATGAAATAAAAATTGAGCACATTTATTTAAAAACTTCTAGAAATGCAAATATTTTTTATATTATTTTAAATAATAGATTTAGATCCTCTTAATTTAAAAACTTAGAGAAGAAAAAAATTACAGTTTGTGAATAATCCAGTGGTCCTTTACACATGAGGTCAGATAAAATTAATGCACATTGCATACTCTTTGGGCTAAGGAGATAACCCGGAATCCAATCAAACCTCTTTGCCATTTTCATTACATCAAATACACAAAGACTAAAACAAAAATAAAAATACAAAAGGATTAAGATGCCTGTGGATATAGTTCTGTATTAAAAATCACTTCTTAAAGGATTGCACCTAGAGAACCCCATGTCTTAGAATATAAAGGTTTAGTGTGAATTCTAATGTCAAAAATATTTGAGATTTATATTTATAATTAGTAAAAAGAAATCTATGGAAATTTAGCACTGGCTGAACAGTTTATATAAAAAGTACTCTTAAGAAATATCAAAGTTAAGAGTTTTATGACATCATTTTTTTTCTGAAAAATAATCCAAGAACACTGAAACTTACGCATGTTTGCAGACATTCTTATCTGTTTATAAAGGTTATTTGGAAATCTGTAACTTCAGTCATTTCTGCCGCCTTTGCTTGAGTGGAATATTGCATAATGGAGTTAATTTAGAGAACAAGAACAATATATAATGAAAGTGAGAGTATTCTTTCTAAGTTCAGCCAAATTAAGAGTAGCCAAAGTCAACAGCTCCTCAAAATGGGTTCATTCAGAGTCATGAGTACCATGTGATTAAAGCCTCTAATGTCTCATTACTTTCTGTAGCTTTTCAATTTTTAAAAGTTGTATACTCTCAATTTGCTATGGTTAAATTTCATTAACACCTCTTTCACATTCCTGGGATATCCGTAGTAAAATAACAGATAAATAATGTGGTATTAATTCCAAACTAAAATACCAATGTCAAAAAATGTTAAATTATTTGAAATTATTTTGAGTAGCTATTATACAGTCTAGCACTATATTACCTACATAAAAAAAAAAGAAAAACCAAACTGTATGCAATTAGATTACATGACAAATGACCAGCATACCTTTGGTTATTTCAGAGTAATCAAATAAGAGGTACTAAACAGATTAAGATATTTCCATTACATCTTCCTTAGAGTGGTACTCTATCTCCACGTCTAGAATAACATCACTTATCATAACTGGCATGCAAAAAAATCGCAGGTATTTCACACACTGTTGGTTCTTCATGAAGACTTTCCATAATTGTTTTCACCTAATACTATCATAAAGAACTGGCAGGACACTTCATTGACAGCTGCAGATGATACTACTCTGGCAAATGAATTGAGGCTGACACTTCTAGAATCTTTTTATCTTCCTCCTTTTAAAACCCAATCAAAATGTACAATGGGTCTGGGGTGTAGTCCAGTAGTAAAACACTTCTCTGGCTTCTATTGTCAGCAGCTTGCAAAAAAAAAAAAAAAAAAAAAAAAAAAAAAAAAAAAAAAAAAAAAAGTTTCATCAACTCTGTTGGCACTATTCTGAGTTTCTCATCTTAAAAACATTCTTGGGCTGGGGATGTGGCTCAAGTGGTAGCGCGCTCG